ATGCACACCCTCAGAGCTCGTCGAGCGGACCTGAGCCAATGGATCTCAGCATTGTTTGACCCTTGCGCTAGGAGCATCAAGGTTCATCGAATCGACGTTCCGCTTCAAACCAGTCTGGTTTGTCGCGGAGAAACGACTACAACTAGTAGGCGCGGGGCGCCCTGCTAGGGAAGAACTGAGTTCTGTTGAGCCTCAAAGATGTACAGTTCAACAGAACCCATCCTTGAAGATGTCCATCCTCTTCAACACGGAACGTGTATGCAAGCCGGGCTTGCTGGTCGTGGAAGCGACCGTGAAGAGCTTTGAGATGCCAGTAAAGATCCTGATTAATTCTGGGGCATCGGCCAATTATGTGCGACGAAGGAAGTGAGCTGGAAGCTGAGGCGCTGAAAGCGCTCTTGAGTGACGCCGTAACTGTTCGCTCAGCGACGGGGACTTGTGTCACTGTGCCGAGGGTCTCTGTGGACCTCGGTGTCAAGTTTCTTGACTTTGATAGCGTGGAGCGCTGCTTAGTCTTAGACTTGGATACAATGTATGAGCTCATCCTTGGTATGGCATGGTCGGAATACCATAGACCAATTGGAGGTCGGAGACCTTGGGCGTTACGCCCACGTCTCCTGGTGGAGCTTTGGTGAGTCATGAACCTACCTCTGCTAGGAAGCAGAAACGCTATTGGCGTGGCAACTGGACCGGGACGGTCAACGTGCTGGAGATCGGAGTATCCAACCAAAAGTGTATTGGACAGGAGTCCCGAGCGTGGCTCGCGGGCTGAACGTGAAGTGGTACGTACTTCACTGAGCTATCAGAGCTATCATTAAGTACCAAAGCATTCGCTGTATGCCATGCGTGACATGGTCGGCAACATCAAGGGAGAGGCCCCAGTGATACACGTGGAGTAGCACGTGTATCACTGAGCACTGCTCATGTTCCAAAGCAGTTGCAACGTAACAAGAGTAACATGGTTGGACGAGGTTCCAAGGCATCTCAGGCAAGCCCTTCAGATGTGCGTGGAGTGGTACGATATCCACTGGACGAAGACTGCGGAACTAGCAGCTCTTCTTCGGATGTTGTAATAACATCAAGGCTTCGAGGGAGCAGGAAGTGGGAACACTGGACGACGCCAAGTGCGTGTATCCACTAGTCTCGATAAGACGTGAACCTCGGCAGAGAG